CTGGAATCATTAATTCAGGCAGAAGGCCAAATAATATTCCAGTAAGGAGGCAGAGTATGAGAAAGGGAAGGGGAATAATTACATCAATAGAAGGAAGGCCTTTTATTGGTGTAGATAACATGTGATATTAATTCTAAACAGTGTTTTAAATGTTCAGTTCAGTAGTTATCAGTCCAGTAGTCATCACAATTGCTTTCTTATTATCTTTGCAAATAGTTCTTAGGACACAATGTGGCCTTAGGTCCAGTCCAACGGCTATTTTGTCCTGTTTAAAAATTCCAAGAGTTGAGGTGTAGACATGTAAGGTAGTGCCTCTGGCCTGGCAGCTCCAGCTTCATTTTTAAAAGTGGCTCCATTTACATTATCCTATCTAATAAAAGAGTAATATGCAAATTAACCGTCGCTCCACAACAAAGATGGAGGCGCCCATAGCGGCCGGGGCAGGACGCTGGCGGCATCACCCCAGCAATGTGAGCCCAGCAGGCATTGCCACGGCGACCCGCGAGCCAGCAAGCATGGCCCACAGGCAGCACCCAGCGGGGCCTGCTTGCCCATCGCCGTGGTGTGGAGCAGGCAGGCCCTGCAGAATGCAGAGAACCACGGGGAGCAGGCCCAAGCCGTCAGTAGGGCATCCCCTGAGGGCTCCCGGATTGGAGAGGGTGCAGGTCGGGCTGAGGGATCTCCACCCCCCCACCCCCAGTGCACGAATTTCGTGCACTGGGCCTCTAGTTATTTATAATTGGTTCTGTGGATGGATGCAATTGGATATGTAAATTAGTTAAGTCATTTACTAGCTATACCTTTAGGTAAGGTACTGGGACCTTCTGAGCTTCCTTTTCCCAATCTGTGAAGTGGGGCTATAACATCGACCTGAAGAGAAGCTGTGCTGATTAAATGAAATACAGGAAGTCCTCGCTTAACATCATTCATAGGTTCTACAACCTGAAGCAGAACGATGTATAATGAAACCAATTTTACCCTAGGCTAATTGATATAAACAAGAGTTAAGTTCATAGTGCATCTCATCAGAGTTGTTACTTAATGTTATTGAGAACCTGCTGTATGCGCATGCTGTTTCTGACACATAGCAGACATCCTATAAATTCATTTTCCTGTCTTCTCTCCTTCTTCATAAAGAACTAGTTTATGATCCAAGTGCTTCCTCTGTGAATCTGGAGCAGCCAGCACGAACTCAGCGCTGGGGGAGTATGCCAGCGCGCTGACTCTCATCACTGTGCCAGTAAAACGCCATCATATATTAAGAGCATTCCTTCTGAGTTTAAGCATTTCTAAATCCCTTTCCTGAATTGAGAAACCAAGCTGAATCAAGTGTAAAAAGACTATTCTCTGTTTATAAAGGTATCATTCCCCCGTCTTTTCTGGATTGTCATGATCTGTAACTGGACTTGTGTACCCAGCTGGCAGCTGCACCAGCCAGAACCTGAGGTAACCTTAGTGTAGGCCCGATTTTTTTTTTTACTCAGAGCCTACAAATTCTATTTAAAGCACACACACGTACAGAATGCAGATGTGGGAATGAAAGCCAGGCTCTTTGGGGAAGTGAGGCCATGATATTTGACTGTAGTGAGGCCATAAGTGGCCCGTGGGCAGGGGCCTCGCCCAGCCATGGTTGGGGCCCCGACCTCAGGAATGGCTTTGGCCTTTTGACATGGCATAGCAATCACATGGGCAGCCACCACATCTCCCCTTTGGGACAGAAACGTTGCACGATCTGAGCTCAGAGGCTTGAAAGATTTTTTCTGCACTCTGAAGAATGTGTAACAGCATGGATATTCTGGAAAACTAACCCCATGAAGAAGCTGAGGATCAAAACTATGATGGGCAGGGAGGGGAAGTTGAGCTGCTTACACTGAATGGAAAGGACTGCTCCAGTCAAGGAAAGAGCCGCTTCAGAATGTAGTTCTAATGTGTATGCAAAGTGGGAAGGAGATCACTGGGCTGTTACATCATGTAGCCAAAGCTCTTATAGTTCAGCCAGACCCCAAATGAACATTCCTTTTGATGACTAATAAGTCATTCATTCATCCATTCATTCATTCATTTACTGAGAACCTACTATGTAGTAAGTCAGATTAGAGGTACTAAGAATACCACGGTGAACAAAAACATTTTTAAAAATTCCTGACTTTATAAAGCTTACATTTTAAAGGGAGAGACTGATGATAAACAATAACAATAATTAAAATATGAATTATACAGGTGACCCTTGAAAGCAGTTTGAATTGTGTGAGTCCACCTATATGCAGATTTTTTCAATAAATTCTGTAAATGTATTTTCCTTATGATTTTCTTAATAACATTTTCTTTTTCTCTAGCTTAGTTTAGCATATCAATATAGAATATAATATTTATAACAATATGTGTTAATCAACTGTGTAGACAGGGTGAGGCAAAAGTAGTTTTACAACTATTCATATGGAAAATACAATTAAATAGTAATACAAGAATAAACTCTGTATTTCGCATACTCACAACTGTAAAACCACTTTTGCCCACTCTATTATCGCTAAGGCTTCTGGTCAACAGTAAGCTAGCAGTAGTTGCACTCTGGGGGAGTCAAAAGTTATGCTCAGATTTTCAACTGTGTAGGGGTCAACCCCTAACCCTGAATTGTTCAAGCATCAACTGTAGAGTGAAAAATGCTCAAGAACAGAAATGAAGCACGGATGGGAGAATGAACTGTTGGGGAAAATGGGTGCTGAAATAATGGATAAGGTGGTCAGGAAAGGCCTCCCTGCGAAGCTGACTTTAATACATATCCAGTTGATGGTTTGGAAGGATACAAACCTAATCTAAAGTATTTCCTCCCAGATTTCCTAGGCTGTTTCTCCATTGTCTTTGGTTTCTGTTTATTTCAGTCTTTTCTTTCACGTTAGAGGCTTTTATGAAATGTCCATTAATCCCGGGTAGTCTGCTAATCTCTGAGCGAGGCCGGGTGTCCTAACCGGAAGCTTTATGTATGGGCCAGGCTGCTTACCACCATGGTGACCAAGCAGACCCTGCACAGTTACCCTCACAATTCTGTTGCTCTCTTCCCACAGGCCAGCCAGCGTTCCTGGAGGGCTCCTCCAGTCCCTGGCTGCAATGGCAGCCCTTTGCCAGGATGCTGTCAGAGGGCATTCACCCACTGCCTCTGTGCCAATGAGCAGAATCTGGTTCAACTCTTCAGTCTTCTGTGGATATGGGGAGTTGCTTGGCTGAGTGGGATAAAAAGAGGGATATGAACAGGTTGCTGTGCCATTAAAAAGAGGAAGTTCAATCAGGGCTCATGCTTTCCTGTCACTGTGCGTTCCTGCCTTCAGAGTCTGGTGCTCATTTCCGGAGCTCCCCTGGGCCTGCGTTTTATGTGGAGTTGTCTCCTTGAAGACCTAGGTGTCAGCTTTCTCTTGTCTGCTATTGTTTCCTCTCCTGTTCTGTTGAGTCTTTAATGTTTGCTTTTTTATTCCTCATTGTCATTTTAATGGAATTTCAGGAGGAAAAAGAGATAAATGTGTTACACGAACGGCCATATTTAACCAGAAGTCATATTCTGTTCTCTTTTAAATTTCTCCTGCCAAGGATTATTCTAGTAGTAAGTAGTAGTCCCTCCTCAGTAGATTCTCACAATAGGATACAAATTGAATGTCAGAATCTCCGATTCCCTGGTTCGGTTATCTATTCCTGAGTAACACATGACCCTAAACATAGTGACTTAAAACAAACACAGTCATTTATTTGCTCATGATTCTGCAACTTGGGCCAGGCTCTCGATTCTGTTTCATATGACTTCTGTTTCGTGTGATGGGGCAGTTCTCCCGGGAGGGAGGGATACCCCTACCAAGAGGGTTCACCCTCATGACTGGCTGGAGAACGGATGCTTAGTGGGGCCACCAGACAGGGCTTCCATTCTTCTCCATGCGGCCTCCACATGTTTGCCTGGACTCCACAGAAGTGTGGTTCTGTGAGGGAGAACCCATGACCATGCTCAGCAATAGGACAAGCTCTAGTGTGCAAGCACTTGGCTAGCCTCCGTTTTGCATCACACTTGCTAATGCCCCGTTGGCCAAAGAAAGTCACATGGCAAAGCTCAGACCGGATCTTGGAAGAAACTGCACTTTATAAGAGCATGGCTACTCATATAGGCACCGTTCATTGGGAGCCACGTACCCTCTGGAACACTGGAATTCTGTGATCCTGTGCTTGTTTTCATTTGTGCAACTGACTTGTTCCAGTTTCTTTCTGAGACATCAGGGTGCCACTTTTTCCTTATAGTTTCACATGGTATAAACATTAAATAAATATGTCTTAGATTACAGAAATATTGTAACATTGCCACTTAAAATGTTTCTGAATGGACTATAAAGACTTAAACCAGCAGTTCTCAACCTGTGGGTCACGACCCCTTTGGCGGTCGAACGACCCTTTCACAGGGGTCGCCTGAGACCATCCTGCATATCAGATATTTACGTTACGATTCATAACAGTAGCAACATTACAGTTATGAAGTAGCCACGAAAATGATTTTATGGTTGGGTCACAACATGAGGAACTGTATTTAAAGGGCCACAAGGTTGAGAACCACTGATTAAACTATATATCTTACACATGGCTATACTGAATGTGTTTTTAGTTAGTGAAAGACATGGGGGGCTGGGGAATCACCCTATGCTGTTAAATTCCTAAGTCTACCTTTCAAGGGGATTAAGTATTGGCTTTTGCTTTAGGCTGCCAGAGGTTCGCTTTTTGTTCTTTTGGTTTTAAAAAAGTTGAAAATTAGCCTCTTTAACACCTGCCCGGACTCCCAAAGAATAAAAATGGGTACTTTTGAGATAACCAGAGAGTGCATTCCTTGGAAATTCCGAACATATATTTCTTGTTGCATGCTTTCAAGCTTGTCCACAACATTTCCTGCACGCGGCCAGACAGAAGTGGCTTAGCTTGTGCTGCGTGTCCTGTGAGTCTTGGTCTGAGAGTGACCGCTGTGCTCCTTTTGCACGCAGGGGTTCTCTATCTCCAGTATGGAGATGAAACCAAGCAGCTCAGGATGCCCAACGAAATCACGAGTGCAGACACGATCCGGGCTCTCTTCGTAAGTGCCTTCCCACAGCAGCTCACCATGAAAATGCTGGAGTCGCCCAGTGTCGCCATTTACATCAAAGACGAGAGCAGAAATGTCTATTATGAACTAAATGATGTAAGGTAAGTAGTCGTGCCGTGTGGTGTGTGTGTGAGTGTGTGTGTGTGTGTGTGTGTGTGTGTGTGTGTACCATATTGCGTTTAGCATTGCTACAGTTTGTATTGAGTCCTGCTTTCTTCGTGGCCCCGTGAAGAAAGCCTGCTCCTACCTGGCAGGCGTATCTCACCCAGGTGGGAATCCACCCGCTGGCTTTCCATCATTCACTTACAAAGAAGTGGTTTACAAAGGCAAGGGTGTCTAGACTTCTCCCACAGAGATCTTTGCATGTTACGTCTGAAAAGAACTTAGGAAACGATCCAGTCCACCAGGTATCTAAGAGCTGTGGAAACTGAGGCCCAGGCGGAGAGACCTGATCAAGGTCGCCCGAGTTGAAGACACTACTTCTGACGGGAACTTTCCCGACTCCTCAGCCGCTCTGCCCTCACAGACGAGCCTGAGGACATCTTAGGCAATGATCCCACTGAGTCATTCTTCACATGAGCCAGTCAGAATAAAAGCAGTGGGATCTGCTACCGTCCACAGGAAAAGAGGCTGAGACGTATTCTCCCTTCCCAGTTGTGTCTTAAATAGTTGGGCCTTTACCAAAGGATCTCCCTCCAGGTGGGCTTCTCCAGGGCGCCCAGTAGAATATACTCTAAAGCGAGGCTCCATGGACGCCTGCTCCTGAGGCTCCACGGACGCCTGCTACTGCAGTCGATTAAAGCATCTTTATCGGCTGTGGTGGTGTTGTGTATAGAGCAGAAGGGACCCATCTAATCTGTCCCAGACAAACAGCCTGAGAAACAGGACTTAACTCAACACCCTTGAACAACAGTTTGAATTGCAGTTTGAATTGTTTAGGATAGCCTCTAAGCATTTTAGAAATTAAAAAATTATTTAGTGACTATTCCAGCCTTTTTATGTTATGGTACCAGACATTCAGATGCATAAAAGTTAATGGACTTACTCAAGATCACGCAGCCGGTTCATGGCTACACCTAATCAAAACCTGACTGTCCACATTCTTGGTCAAGAATTTTTTATTCCCTCAGAACGTTTATTCCCTGCTCAGCTCATCTGGGCCACAACTTGAGTTTCTGGGTACTTGCCCTGTGGGGAATAGCAGGCTGACCTGTTTCTTCATTATGGAATTAGTGGAAACCACTTTTTAAAAATGTGCCTTTAATGCATAATAAATGTAAACTGATAAATATCTAACAGTGATCACAATGACATATTTAGGCAAGTGCCAAGTTGTATAAGCAATTGAGGGCTTTCAAAATTTGACACATGCCCTAAGGTAGAGGGTGCTGCATCCGTTGCATAACCTTCCTGCTTTTTAAAAAAACAACAACAAAGAAAACAAACATGTTTAAATATTCATAGGTAACAGAAAATTCATGTTTGTTTTTTGAAATAAATTATTAACCAGGCTGTCACCAATAAAAGGAAATTTATAAAGCATAAACTTAAACATGAAGTAATCATGTTATGTTTAAAGAGTATGTTTGCGGTAATATAATCCCATGTAGAGTTTTTACATGGACGTGACATTTTAGAACACTCCTCTTGAATTTCTGCATTTTGCAGTTAGAAGAATTGAGAGATATGGTAATAACAAATAAGCATGAAACCAGGCAAAGCCACTTTTGATTATGGAGCTCAAGACTGATGAGGTTATTATGAACAATTGGACCCACTGCCTCACAGCTCATGCAAGAATTTTTATATTACAACTAGAGGCCCGGGGATCAGGCCAAAACTGACTCTCCAACATCCTCCAAGGCGTCCCAGATTGTGAGAGGGCACAGGCCAGGCTGAGGGACCCTACCAGTGCATGATCAGGGCCGGGGAGGGACCACTGGAGGGTTCCAAGGCGTGTCCAGCCCATCTCGCCCAGCCCCAATTGTCTGGACCCCAGCAGCAAGCTAACCTACCGGTCGGAGCGTCTGCCCCCTGGTGGTCATTGCGCATCGTAGTGACTGGTTGAATAGTCAGACACTTAGCATATTAGGCTTTTATTATATAAGATGAGGCCCAATATTCTAGAGCATTCCCCAAGTCTCAGAGTACTACTAATACTTCCTTTAAGCATTCTGAGGGAGTGTCATTTCATAGTCACAAAGAGGGAAGTGGGAGGGAAGACAAAAAGGAAAGGTCCCCCAACTTTCCAAATTAAGATGATCCTTTTTCAGGCAAATTCAAGCAAGTGCTTGAGAGAAATGATCATTTCTAACATTGATAATTTTCAGTTAATATGTTTATATTTGCAAAAATGATGATCTTGTTTATCCTCATGCTGCAGTGTAAATAGCCTGATTTTTTAAAATCTCATTTTAAAATGTTTAATTGGGAAGTCATTTGTCTAGATTTTACTTTTTAGTGTTTTGATTTACTTATAAAAATGGATCTAAAAATGTGGAGAAAATGTTTATATATATAAATATATACAAATATCCTATCTAATAAAAGAGAAACATGGTAATTAGCCGTACCTCCGCTACCCTTCCCATTGGCTAATCAGGGAGATATGCAAATTAACTGCCAACCAAGATGGTGGCCGGCAGCCAGGCAGCTGATGCGAACAGGGAGGCTTGCTTGCTTCAGTGACAGAGGAAGCCAAGCTTCCCCGCCTGCCTTGCGGCCTCTGAGCTGCACTCTAAGAAACACTGTAACAAATATAGAAGCTAAACAAAACCCCAGAAACCTGCTTTAGTCAGCCAGGCTTCAGCCAGCAGGACCGCAACATTGTTTCAAATACAGAAGGTAAACAAAGGCCAGAAACCTGCTTTCAGCAGCCGAGGCCTCAGAGCTAAAGCTGGCACAGAATTAAAAAAAAAAAAAAAAGGAGCAGTTGGGAGCTTCAGTCACCCGCCAGCCTGAAAACAGCCCTCAGCCCCTCATCCAAGCTGGCCAGGCACCCCAGTGGGGACCCCACCCTGATCCAGGACACCCTTCAGGGCAAACCAGCCAGCCCCCACCCGTGCACCAGGCCTCTATCCTATATAGTAAAAGGGTAATATGCCTCCTGGCACCGGGATCAGCGGAGCAGCGAGGCCTCTTGGCACCGGGATCAGTGTGACAGGGGGCAGTGCCCAAACCTCCTGATCGCCCTGCGGCTCTGTGTGTGACAGGGTGCGGCGCCCCAACCCCCTGATCAGCCCTGCTCTGTGCTTGGTAGGGGGGAGCTCCCCAACCCCCTGATCACCCTGCGGCTCTGTGTATGACAGGGGCGGGGCCACAACCTCCCTATCCGCCCTGCTCTGTTCGTGACAGGGGAAGGTGCCCCAACCCCCTGATCAGCCCTGCTCTGTGCCTGATAGGGGGGAGCTCCCCAACCCCCTGATGGCCCTGCTCTGTGCGTGACAGGGGGGAGCTCCTCAACCCCCTGATCGCCCTGCTCTGTGTGTGACAGGGTATGGAGCCCCAACCCCCCTGATGGCCCTGCTCTGTGCATGACAGG